TCGAGGAGCAGATCTTCGAGCAGCAGCTCTTCGAGGAGCAGCTCTCCGCAGAGTGAATCCAAGGACAAGAGCAGCAGCTCTTCGAGGAGCAGCTCTCCGCAGAGTGAATCCAAGGACAAGAGCAGCAGCTCTTCGAGGAGCAGCTCTTCGAGCAGCAGATCTTCGAGGAGCAGCTCTCCGCAGAGTGAATCCAAGGACAAGAGCAGCAGCTCTTCGAGGAGCAGCTCTTCGAGCAGCAGATCTTCGAGGAGCAGGTCTTCGAGGAGCAGCTCTCCGCAGAGTGAATCCAAGGACAAGAGCAGCAGCTCTTCGAGGAGCAGCTCTTCGAGGAGCAGCTCTTCGAGCAGCAGCTCTTCGAGGAGCAGCTCTCCGTAGAGTGAATCCAAGGACAAGAGCAGCAGCTCTTCGAGGAGCAGATCTTCGAGCAGCAGCTCTTCGAGGAGCAGATCTTCGAGCAGCAGCTCTTCGAGGAGCAGCTCTCCGCAGAGTGAATCCAAGGAAAAGAGCAGCAGCTCTTCGAGGAGCAGATCTTCGAGCAGCAGCTCTTCGAGGAGCAGCTCTTCGAGCAGCAGCTCTTCGAGGAGCAGCTCTCCGCAGAGTGAATCCAAGGAAAAGAGCAGCAGCTCTTCGAGGAGCAGATCTTCGAGGAGCAGCTCTTCGAGGAGCAGCTCTCCGCAGAGTGAATCCAAGGAAAAGAGCAGCAGCTCTTCGAGCAGCAGCTCTTCGAGGAGCAGCTCTCCGCAGAGTGAATCCAAGGACAAGAGCAGCAGCTCTTCGAGGAGCAGATCTTCGAGCAGCAGCTCTTCGAGGAGCAGCTCTCCGCAGAGTGAATCCAAGGACAAGAGCAGCAGCTCTTCGAGGAGCAGATCTTCGAGCAGCAGCTCTTCGAGGAGCAGCTCTCCGCAGAGTGAATCCAAGGACAAGAGCAGCAGCTCTTCGAGGAGCAGCTCTCCGCAGAGTGAGCCTTCCCTTCCGAAGGACTCCCCTGAGGGGAAGCGGACGTCCGCCCAGGCGCCCTCCCAGCGCCCCTCCCAACACGAGGGCGAGCGGACCGCCCAGGCGCCCTCCCAGCGCCCCGCCCAACACGAGGGCGAGCGGACCGCCCAGGCGCCGCCCACCAAACGCCCCGCCCAACACGAGGGCGAGCGGACCGCCCAGGCGCCGCCCTCCAAGCGCCCCTCCCAACACGAGGGCGAGGCGCCGCCCTCCAAGCGCCCCGCCCAACACGAGGGCGAGCGGACCGTCCAGGCACCCTCCCGGCGCCCCGCCCAACACAAGGGCGAGACGAGCCCCAAGAAGGCCCTGACGACCGAGGACCAAGCCCTTGGGGGGCCTCGCCTCCCGGGTCCTAATAGGTCGAACACCGACGACGACTGCTTCAAGCGCGTGCACCCCCGCCAGCACAGGAAGGTGATCGCGCCGAAAAGGCGGAACCCGGAGGATTCTATCCTTCCGAAGGACTTCCCTAAGGAGGAGCGGACCGACCAGGCGCCCGAGGGCAGCAGGGCTCCGCAGAAGGAGTCTTCCCCTCCGAAGAACTCTCCTAAGGAGAAGCGGACCGCCCAGGCGCCGCCCGCCAAACGCCCCGCCCAACACGAGGGCGAGACGAACCCCAAGAGGGCCAAGACGACCCAACCGCCTGCAGGCAAGCACACCCGCGACAGCGACACAGAGGAAGGGCGGCCCCAAGTCGCACCTTTTCGGAAGTCGGACGCCTTCGTGGAGTGCTACAATAAGGTGTGCTCCCTCCGGTTCCTGAACTCGACCGAGCAGAAGAGGCCGAGCTTTTACCAGGTCAACCTCCTGACTCTCTTCTGCGCCAGCCAGGGCCTGCCCCTCCTGTCCCGCAACAAGTTCGACACGCACCACAAAATATTCATAGGTGAGGGTAGCTATGGCAGGAAGTTCCTCAACAGTAAACATGAGCTGGTCCTCAAGTATGCCAAGAACCTGCAAAAGTTCCGCACCATGCTGCTGGAGGCCGTGTTGATGAATCTATTCTCGAGTCACCTCGGCTTCCAGCGCTTGGTGGGCGTGTGTCCGTCGGAGCTGTGCCTCGTGACGCGCTACGCTGGTCGGAGCCTCGACCACTACGCAGGCTATAGTCTGCTTAAGCCGGAGCACAGGTACTCCGTCATGACGCAGCTGTGCAACATCCTGCAGGAATTCCACCAGAACTGCTTCGTACACAACTGCCTCAGATTGCAGAGCGTGTGCGTCAAGATCACGGCGTCGGGGCCGCAGGTGACCCTCACTGACTTCGGCCTCACCCTGATAGCCAAATGGCGCCCGAAGATGGCCGTCGTGTGGGACAAGCGCTCGCAATTCGCGCCCGAGATCTGCGGCGCCGAGAACCCAGGCCGCTGCAGTTGGCAGTCTGACGCCTACAGCCTCGGCAAGCTCATGCACCAGCTGTTCGGCAGCAAGCAGCTGCCGCCGCTGCTCAATGTCTGGTACGTCAGGAGCCAGGACGTGAACCCAAGCAAGCGTAGCAGACTGGACTAGCTGCACGAGTTTTTGAAGCAGGAACCGATCGCCCAGCTCCGCCAGGGCCACTGACGACGCAGTCTTCGCTCCGAACGCTGACCGGAATCACCTGCGTGAGATCAAGGGGCACCTGCGAGCGGAGATCTCAGTGTTTGGAGAAACAAAGGAATAATTTTAGTATTGATGATAGTTTTATTGTGATATGAACTCCAGGCATACGCACAATGTTATATTGCAATAAATTAAACAAACAAAAAATAATATATATACATACATCATTCTATCAATTCCTATATGTCTATTGATATCTATATCTATATCTATGTCTATGTACATATATTCATCATCATCATAAGGGGGCATACGCATGGCTGCGCTTTGCCGCGCCCAACCTTTGCCTCCACCTCCTGGGGTCCTTCCGAGCGAGCCTCCATGTAGCATTCCTTCTCACTCCCAGTACACCTTGGCAGATCTGATCGACTTGCTTCAGCCATGAATTCCGTGGCCTTCCCCTTGGTCTTCTCCAGCCTGGGTCAACCCTCTCGGTGATGACCCTATGAGCCGGATCTTCCTCAGGGAAACGAGCCACATGTCCATAGAGCTGAAGTTGGCGCTCTCGTATCAGACTGGTAATAGGTCTTGAATCAGTCTCATGGAGTATCCTCTGGTCCCTCCAGGTATACCCCATGATTCTGCGAAGACAATTAGTACCGAAGGAGTTAAGACAGCCCTTCAGAGCACTGTTCAGTGTCCAGGTCTCACACCCATAGAGTGAGACCGGGAGCACCAGTGCTCTGAAGAGCCTGATCTTAGTTCTCCTAGTCAAATACCGACAGTGCCAAATACTCCTATTGAGTGAGTCCATAACGCCGTAGGCCATATATTCATATATATATATATATATATATATATATATATATATATATATATATATATATATATATATATATATATATATATATATATATGTATGTATGTATATATATATGTATGTATGTATATATATATATATATATATATATATATATATATATATATATATATATATATATATATATATATATATATATATATATATGTATGTATGTATGTATATATATATATATATATATATATATATATATATATATATATATATATATATATAAATAGATAGATAGATAGATATGTGTGTGTGTGTATGTGTGCGTGTGTGTTCTGTTCTGTGCGGATTAACGTCACGAAACTCCTTTTTTGGACAAGGGCTAGGACGGACCTGCCCCGTGAAAGGACAGGCAGGAATTGGCAGGGGGAGACCGTTACCCCGAGTGGATGCCCTTCCTTCATATATTCATATATCTACTGTACCTATATCTTTGTGTTTATAAATCCATGTAGTTTACATTTATTTGTCTAATCTCTACTGATCAATCTATCTGTCAATCCATCTATCAAGACCAGTAATTTAAACATATGACCTTGGATCCATACAATGTGATCCATATTTTCTTTACATACTATTTTGAAAAAGAAACGCTAAGTTTTGATTTATTACAACAAGTAAGAACAGTCTGTTTACCGTTTTTTTACGTAACGGGATAAATTTACAGTAAAGGGGACATATAAGAAAACGAAATATAATATTTTTAACCCTGATATATGTATGTGTTTGTGTGTGTGTGTGTTTGTGTATGTACGTGTGTGTGTTTGTGTGTGTGTGTGTATGTGGCTGTGTGTGTGTTTGTGTATGTACGTGTGTGTGTTTGTGTATGTACGTGTGTGTGTGTGTGTGTGTGTGTGTGTATGTGGCTGTGTGTGTGTGTGTGTGTGTGTGTATGTGGCTGTGTGTGTGTGTGTGTGTGTGTGTGTGTGTGTGTGTGTGTGTGTGTGTGTGTGTGTGTGTGTGTGTGTGTGTGTGTGTGCGTGTGTGTGTTTTAGTATGTGTGTGTGTATGTGTTGGTATGTGTGTGTAGTGTAGTATGCGTGTGTGTGTATGTGTATGTTTTAGTATGTGTGCGTGTATAAACATGTGTGTGTGAGTATGTGTCTGTGTGTGTGTGGTTAGAGTCCTCCTCGTAGTCCCGAGTTCAATTCCACGCCGCGGCAGTCGTAAAAGTGCCTGCGCTCTGACTGCCGGCTCGAATCCGATCTCACGGCGAGGAAACCACATATCTTGAGAAGTCAAACGCAGGGGAAGTCGCCGCCGTGGCACAGGTGTTAGGGCGCCGAGACACAGTTGATTAGAAAGGGCATCCAAGCAGTCACGGGTGGTACTGCCAAATAACCTCTCAGTAGTGAATGGCGAGACGCTTAGATCCTGCAGTGGATTAAATGGCTGTTGAACAAACAATATCGACGGCCACGCTCAGCCGATTGTCTCTACCCACTCACGTATAGGCAGAGTCAGCGTCTGGCCGAAAGAATGTGAGGAACTAGCTGTTGCCCATGCAGCAGGTTCCCTCTCCACGCAGTTGTTGGATCCAAAGGCATGACATAGACTGATACGGTTTGGCACCAGCGGCGTCGCAGGAGTT